AATATTTTATTTTATTATATTTTTATTATTATTATTATTATTATATTTTTAAAAAAAAAATTAATATTATAATAATTTTTTTAATAATAAAATAATAATAAATAAATTATTAATAAAATAATAATTAATAATAATAAAAAAAAATAAAAAAAATAAAAATAATAAATAATAAAAATATAAATTATAAAAAAATAAAATAAAATAATAACAAAATAAAAAAATAATTCTTATTATTATATTTAATTTTTTTTATTATTATTAATAATATAATTAATTAATTAATAATAATAAAATAATAATAATAATAAAAATTTTAATAATTATTATTACTATTATTATTTTATTATTTTAATAAAATAATAAATAATAATATTAACTAAATAATATAAAAACAAAAAAAAATAACAATTTAAATAAATAATAATAATAAAATAATAATATAATTAAATATAAAAAATAAAAAATAATAATATTAATTTAAATAATTTTATTTCCTTTTTTTAATTTTATTTTTTATTTATTATTATTATTAATTATTATATTATTATTATAAATAATAATAAATAATTAATAATTTTTATTATTATTTAATTAAAAAAACATAATAATATTTAAAATAATAATAAATAATTTTTTTTTTTTTATTTATTTTTTTATTATTATTATAAAAATTTTTATATTATTTTTTTAATTTTTATAATAATAATAATAATAATATTTTTTAAAAAAAAAACACTAAAAATAACAATAATTTTTTTTAATAAATAATAATATAAATTTAATAAAAATAATATTTTAAATATATAATAAATTAAAAAAAAAATTTTTATTATTTATCATTTTTAATATCATTATTATTATTTATTAATTTAATTATTAATTAATATTAATAATAATAATAATAATTTTAATTAATATTTATAATAATAATATTTTTTTTTTATTTTTTTTTATTGTTAATAATAATAATAATAATAATAATAATAATAATAACAACAACACAAAAAATAACAATAATAAATAATAATAATAAATAATAATAAAAAATAATTATAAAAAAATAATAATAATATTAATTTAAATAATTCTTCTTCTTCTTCTCCTACTTCTTCTTCTTATTATTATTATTATTATTATTATTATTAATTATATTATAATAATAATAATAAGTATTATTATTATTAATTAAAAAAACATAATAATAATAATAATAATAAATAATTCTTATTCTTCTACTTATTATTATTTTTATATTATGAAAATTAATCAATAATATCTGTGTTCTCGGTGATCGGCGATGAGATTATGATCCGGGTGCAAATCTCTGCACTATGCTACCATTGGAGAGATCCGGGTTCTCCAGGAGTGTGATCTCCTCCTCGGATGGCTCTCGGATTCCCAGCGTTGTATTCTATGTTGTTACATTGTATCATTTATTATTATTAGATATTATTCTGTATTTCATCTATTATTGTGATTTAATATTCGTCTCGCCGTCGTATTTCTGCTGATAATATTTTCCCTGTCATGTGTCATACGTGTGTCATGTTATCCGTCCTCTTCTATTCATGATCACATTTTAGGTATCACTTCTCTTCTATTTATATTCTTTATTATTTTTTTGTATTTTTTGTTGCCGTTGACGACGGCGGGGCGGTTCTGAGGGTTCCCGTTATTTGCATAAGTTTGGATCACAGTGCGTGTTCTGCCGCCGTCACAGACATCACGGTACAGGATGTGTGTTGTTGTCGGCTAACTTGTGTGCAAAAATCGATGTCTATATCGCGTTGAATAGGACGATCCCCCCCCCCGCCCGCCGCATAGGGCCGCCGCGTCTATGGGTGATGGTGTCGCTGGTGTGGTGTTGTGTCTGCTGGCATGCATGTGTTGATGCTGCTGGTGCTGTTGCTGGCTGCTGTCATGTCTCAGTGGAGTCTTCTATGTGGTCCTCCTTGCAGACATCCTCGGTCCTGGAAGAGGTGCTCCTTCTCCTTCTCCTTCTTCTTCTTCTTTTTTTTTTCCTTTTATATCCTCATCTGCAGGAATGGAGGTTGCCCGTCGGCAGACACCCCTGTAGAGGCCAGCCCGGCGCTGCGCCGAGGATGGCTGCAGAAGTCCCGCTCGCTCATTGTGGCCGTCTCCGAGAGAAATCGCCGGCTTCGCCTTGTGTCACACCATCCCTCCCCCCCCCCCCCCACCACCACCACCACCTTTCTCCAATTCCCATTCTCTCTATCCTGCAGCCTGATTTGTTGCTGGGCTTTCTCTCCGCGTCTCTCTCATTCTCATCCCCCCTCCCTCCTACAACCTCCTATTTATCCCCCTACATTGGGTTTCAGGGACACCCTTCTCCTATGGTAAGGACTGTGAATGAAGGGCTGTGTGATGGTCCCTCCTTTTCATGGATGGAGGAGGAGGAGGTGGGGGGATCTGTTATGGCTCATGAGATGGATTGCTCATGCCGTGTACCTGGCTCTCATGGTCACCAGGGGCTCATCTCCGCAGTGTCAGATAAATGAAACACTAGGCGCGGAGAGGAGAGCAGCCCGCACCCCCCGATCATGGATGAACACGGGTCCTCCCGTGTATTGGGCTCTGAGCAGTGCAGGATTCCATCAGCATTAATTAGGAGTTCTCCCGGCGCGGGGTAGTTGGCTTGCTGGTCAGGTTTGTAGAGAGAGAAGCTTGGCCCCTCGATGATTGCATCTCGGATGTAGGAAAGAGGAGGAGGAGGACTGGACCCCCTACTTGGCTGAGTCTTCAGCCTTATCAAAGGCGAGCGATCGGGTAGTGAGACGAGGCCGAAGGACGCAGACGGTTGGCGGATCCGTGTTTATTGACCTGATTACAAGAGGACTTCATGATGACCGGAATACCAGCAAATGTCCCCGGAGACCAGTTATCTGTATCCTCATCCCTCAGGTTCCTCAGATCATCCCTCAGGTTCCTAATTACAAGAGGACTTCATGATGACCGGAATACCAGCGAATGTCCCGGAGACCGGTTTTCTGTATCCTCATCCCTCAGGTTCCTCAGATCATCCCTCAGGTTCCTAATTACAAGAGGACTTCATGATGACCGGAATACCAGCGAATGTCCCCGGAGCCGGGTTATCTGTATCCTCATCCCTCAGGTTCCTCAGATCATCCCTCAGGTTCCTAATTACAAGAGGACTTCATGATGACCGGAATACCAGCGAATGTCCCCGGAGCCGGGTTATCTGTATCCTCATCCCTCAGGTTCCTCAGATCATCCCTCAGGTTCCTAATTACAAGAGGACTTCATGATGACCGGAATACCAGCGAATGTCCCCGGAGCCAGGTTATCTGTATCCTCATCCCTCAGGTTCCTGTTACTGTATCCTCATCCCTCAGGTTCCTCAGGTCATCTCTCAGGTTCCTAACTACAAGAGGACTTCATGATGACCGAAATACCAGCGAATGTCCCCGGAGACCAGTTATCTGTATCCTCATCCCTCAGGTTCCTAATTACAAGAGGACTTCATGATGACCGGAATACCTGGATTCCAGCGAATGTCCCCCGGGCTGGGTTATCTGTATCCTCGTTCCTCAGGTTCCCGTTACTGTATCCTCATCCCTCAGGTTCCTCAGGTCATCCCTCAGGTTCCTGTTCCTGTATCCTCATCCCTCAGGTTCCAAATTACAAGAGGACTTCATGGTGACCAGAATACCTGCCGTTCCAGCGAATGTCCCCGGAGCCGGGGTATCTGTATCCTCATCCCTCAGGTTCCTGTTACTGTATCCTTATCCCTCAGGTTCCTCAGGTCATCCCTCATGTTCCTAACTACAAAAGGACTTCATGATGACCGGAATGCCTGCCATTCCAGCGAATGTCCCCGGAGACCAGTTATCTGTATCCTCATCCCTCAGGTTCCTGTTACTGTATCCTCATCCCTCAGGTTCCTGCTACTGTATCCTCATCCCTCAGGTTCCTGTTACTGTATCCTCATCCCTCAGGTTCCTCACGTCATCCCTCAGGTTCCTAATTAGAAGAGGACTTCATGATGACTGGAATACCTGCATTCCAGCAAATGTCCCCGGAGCCGGGGTATCTGTATCCTCATCCCTCAGGTTCCTGTTACTGTATCCTCATCCCTCAGGTTCCTGTTATTGCTTTTGCTGTTGAGGTGCCTATTGCTGAAAATCCTGAAATAGCCCCCTGTACACTGATAGGTGGCCTTACATGTTCAAGCTGGTTTGCTGTGTCAAAGTGATCCCTCTCTGGCCAACTGTGTCAAAATGATCCCTCTTTGGCCAACTGCATCAAAGTGATCCCTCTCTGGCCAACTATGTCAAAATGATCCTTCTCTGGCCAACTGCATCAAAGTGATCCCTCTTTAGCCAAATGCATCAAAGTGATCCCTCTCTGGCCAACTGTGTCAAAGTGATCCCTTTCTAGCCAACCAATTTAAAGTGATCCCTCTCTAGCCAACCAATTTAAAGTGATCCCTCTTTAGCCAAATGCATCAAAGTGATCCCTCTTTAGCCAAATGCATCAAAGTGATCCCTCTCTGGCCAACTGCATCAAAGTGATCCCTCTCTGGCCAACCAATTTAAAGTGATCCCTCTCTGACCATTTTCTACTCTGCTCTGCAAAATGTCATTTGCTTGCTAACAGCCAAATTCAGCGCTTTTGTTGCCGCCAACCTACAGCTCATGTCAGCAGAAGTGGTGAGTTTTACACAAACCAACAGGGAAGGTAAATCTGACTAGCTGACTGTCAGGTGTCAAATGGAAGCAATTTGGCGATTGTATAGAAACCAGATCGCTTCCACACACCCAGCATCACTGCCCCCTCCATGTCTCCTGGGCTCTGTGCTTCCATCAGTAGACCCAGGACCAGCATGGCGGACACCAATGGGCAGAGGGGAAGAAATCCAGAGAGCGAGGACAATAATTCAAGGCCCATTATTTACAGATAACTCCCGAATGATGGCCTCCTAAAGCATCACTTATGGGGAATTTAGGGTACCAATGTATGTCACTGTCTCCCATACACACACAATTTGTAAGGTTTAAAATGATGGTTATCTATATACCCCCCTTCCAGTCCGGACACTTCCCCCCCCCTTCCAGTCCAGACACTTTCCCCCCCTTCCAGTCCGGACACTTTCTCCCCCCTTCCAGTCCAGACACTTTCCCCCCCTTCCAGTCCGGACACTTTCCCCCCTTTCCAGTCCGGACACTTTCACCCCCCCTTCCAGTCCGGACACTTTCCCCCCCTTCCAGTCCAGACACTTTCCCCCCCTTCCAGTCCAGACACTTTCCCCCCCTTCCAGTCCAGACACTTTCCCCCCCCCCTTCCAGTCCGGACACTTTCCCCCCCTTTCCAGTCCGGACACTTTCACCCCCCCCTTCCAGTCCGGACACTTTCCCCCCTTCCAGTCCGGACACTTTCACCCCCCCCTTACATTCCGGACACTTTCCCCCCCTTCCAATCCGGACACTTTCCCCCCCTTCCAGTCCGGACACTTTCCCCTCCTTCCAGTCCGGACACTTTCACCCCCTTCCAGTCCGGACACTTTCCCCCCCCTTCCAGTCCAGACACTTTCACCCCCTTCCAGTCCGGACACTTTCACCCCCCCTTCCTGTCCGGACACTTTCCCCCCCCCCTTCCAGTCTGGACACTTTCACCCCCCCTTCCATTCCGGACACTTTCCCCCCCTTCCAGTCCGGACACTTTCCCCCCCTTCCAGTCCGGACACTTTCACCCCCCCCCTTCCAGTCCGGACACTTTCCCCCCCTTCCAGTCCGGACACTTTCCCCCCCCTTCCAGTACGGACACTTTCACCCCCCCTTCCAGTCCGGACACTTTCCCCCCCCTTCCAGTCCAGACACTTTCCCCCCCTTCCAGTCTGGACACTTTCCCCCCCCCCTTCCAGTCCGGACACTTTCCCCCCCTTCCAGTCCGGACACTTTCACCCCCCCCCCTTACAGTCCGGACACTTTCCCCCCCTTCCAGTCCGGACACTTTCCCCCCCTTCCAGTCCGGACACTTTCCCCTCCTTCCAGTCCGGACACTTTCACCCCCCCCTTCCAGTCCGGACACTTTCCCCCCCCTTCCAGTCCAGACACTTTCACCCCCTTCCAGTCCGGACACTTTCACCCCCCCTTCCTGTCCGGACACTTTCCCCCCCTTCCAGTCTGGACACTTTCACCCCCCCTTCCAGTTCCGGACACTTTCCCCCCCCTTCCAGTCCGGACACTTTCCCCCCCTTCCAGTACGGACACTTTCACCCCCCCTTCCAGTCCGGACACTTTCCCCCCCCCCCCTTCCAGTCCGGACACTTTCCCCCCCTTCCAGTCGGACACTTTCACCCCCCCTTCCAGTCCGGACACTTTCCCCCCCTTCCAGTCCAGACACTTTCCCCCCCTTCCAGTCCGGACACTTTCACCCCCCCTTCCAGTCCGGACACTTTCCCCCCCTTCCAGTCCGGACACTTTCCCCCCCCTTCCAGTCCGGACACTTTCCCCCCCTTCCAGTCCAGACACTTTCCCCCCCTTCCAGTCCGGACACACTTTCCCCCCCCCCCCTTCCAGTCCGGACACTTTCCCCCCCCCTTCCAGTCCGGACACTTTCCCCCCCCCCTTCCAGTCCGGACACTTTCCCCCCCTTTCCAGTCCGGACACTTTCACCCCCCCTTCCAGTCCGGACACTTTCCCCCCCCCTTCCAGTCCAGACACTTTCACCCCCTTCCAGTCCGGACACTTTCCCCCCCCCCTTCCAGTCCGGACACTTTCCCCCCCTTCCAGTCCGGACACTTTCCCCCCCCTTTCCAGTCCGGACACTTTCCCCCCCTTCCAGTCCGGACACTTTCCCCCCCTTCCAGTCCGGACACTTTCCCCCCCTTCCAGTACGGACACTTTCACCCCCCCCTTCCAGTCCGGACCCCCTTTCCCCCCCTTCCAGTCCGGACACTTTCACCCCCCCCCAGTCCGGACACTTTCACCCCCCCCCCCTTCCAGTCCGGACACTTTCCCCCCCCCTTCCAGTCCGGACACTTTCCCCCCCTTCCAGTCCGGACACTTTCCCCCCTTCCAGTCCGGACACTTTCCCCCCCCCCTTCCAGTCCGGACACTTTCACCCCCTTCCAGTCCGTCCGGACACTTTCCCCCCCTTCCAGTCCGGACACTTTCCCCCCCCTTCCAGTCCGGACACTTTCCCCCCCCCCCCAGTCCAGTCCGGACACTTTCCCCCCCTTCCAGTCCGGACACTTTCCCCCCCTTCCAGTCCGGACACTTTCACCCCCTTCCAGTCCGGACACTTTCCCCCCCCGACCAGTTCCGGACACTTTCCCCCCCTTCCAGTCCGGACACTTTCCCCCCCCCTTCCAGTCCGGACACTTTCCCCCCCTTCCAGTCCGGACACTTTCCCCCCCCTTCCAGTCCGGACACTTCCCCCCCTTCCAGTCCGGACACTTTCCCCCCCTTCCAGTCCGGACACTTTCCCCCCCCTTCCAGTCCGGACACTTTCCCCCCCTTCCAGTCCGTCCGTCCGGACACTTCCCCCCCTTCCAGTCCGGACACTTTCCCCCCCTTCCAGTCCGGACACTTTCACCCCCCCCCCTTCCAGTCCGGACACTTTCCCCCCCTTCCCAGTCCGGACACTTTCCCCCCCCTTCCAGTCCGGACACTTTCCCCCCCTTCCAGTCCGGACACTTTCCCCCCCTTCCAGTCCGGACACTTTTCCAGTCCCCCTTCCAGTCCGGACACTTCCCCCCCTTCCAGTCCGGACACTTTCCCCCCCTTCCAGTCCGGACACTTTCCCCCCCCCTTCCTTCCAGTCCGGACACTTTCCCCCCTTCCAGTCCGGACACTTTCCCCCCCTTCCAGTCCGGACACTTTCCCCCCCTTCCAGTCCGGACACTTTCCCCCCCCTTCCAGTCCGGACACTTTCACACCCCCCCCTTCCAGTCCGGACACTTTCCCCCCCTTCCAGTCCGGACACTTTCCCCCCCTTTCACAGTCCGGACACTTTCCCCCCCCCTTCCAGTCCGGACACTTTCCCCCCCCCTTCCAGTCCGGACACTTCCCCCCCCCCCTTCCAGTCCGGACACTTTCACCCCCCTTCCAGTCCGGACACTTTCCCCCCCCCTTCCATTCCGGACACTTTCACCCCCCTTCCAGTCCGGACACTTTCTCCCCCCTTCCAGTCCGGACACTTTCACCCCCCTTCCAGTCCGGGCACTTTCCCCCCTTCCATTCCGGACACTTTCACCCCCCCTTCCAGTCTGGACACTTTCCCCCCCCCTTCCAGTCCGGACACTTTCACCCCCTTCCAGTCCGGGCACTTTCACCCCCCCCTTCCAGTCCGGGCACTTTCACCCCCCCCTTCCAGTCCGGGCACTTTTCCCCCCCTTCCAGTCCAGACACTTTCACCCCCTTCCTGTCCGGACACTTTTACCCCTTCCAGTCCGGACACTTTCCCCCCCCCCCAGTCCGGACACTTTTACCCCTTCCAGTCCGGACACTTTCCCTCCCTTCCAGTCCGGACACTTTCCCCCCCTTCCAGTCAGGACACTTTCCCCCCTTCCAGTCCGGACACTTTCCCCCCTTCCAGTCCGGACACTTTCCCCCCCCCGCCTTCCAGTCCAGACACTTTCACCCCCCTTCCTGTCCAGGCCAATTTTCAGCTTTCAGCGCTATCACACTTTGAATGACAATTGCACGGTCATGCAACACTGTACCCCTGTGAATTTTTTTAGCATTTTTTTGAGACAGATAAGACTTTATTTTGGTGGTATTTATTCACAGCTGGGATTTTTACATTTTTTTGCTATATAAATGAAAAAGTGTTTTTCTTAGAACATTTTCAAATAAATAATCTCTCTTCATAAATCTTGGCCAAAATGTATTCAGTTATCTTTTTAGTAAAAAAAAAATAACCCAAATTAGTTTATAACCAAAAATTATAATTTAAAAAAAAAAATTAAAATTTTTATTTTTTTTATATTATTATTTATGTTTTTTTTTTTTTTTTTTACATACTGTCACCCTAGCAGTACAGTGTCACCATGGTGACACTGTACTACTTGTGGGGGGTGATGAAGATTTTTTTTTTTTTTTTTACACTGATTGCTTTTACACCCATAAAGGCTGTACAATCATTTCTCCTTCTCTCTGGCTGAATTCCTGCAGCCATTGAGAAATACTGTGTGAGCTGTGATTGGTCACAGCTTGTCACATGGTACAAGTCTGTTGTGAATGGCCCTGTACCATGGGATCTCTGTGATCATTCACAGATTTCACACGTAGTAAGCAATGATGTCAGAAGTGACATCTTGTGTACTACTCTGCATGTGATCACTGATTGGCCAATCAGTGATCACATGATCGGGACCTCACACAGAGGTCCCGTACAACGATCGGTGTTCTACTGTGTCCAGAGGACACTGCGGGCACCGGATCGCGGTTCTGTGTGCTCCCAGGGAGCGCACACAAGCAGGGGGCGGGGAGGAATGATTGTATATATACATGGAAGTGGTTAATAAGCGCAACCTCATCTTTCATACGTTAACCAAAAATGAGTAATATGTTGCGCTTTTATGCCCCCATAATTAACTTTTATTTATTTTTTTCTGAAATTAGCACTTGATAAACTGTTGTGATATCGTGTGTCATAAAAAATCTTAAACTTCCACTGATTTATTCTCCTTAGTCACTGATTTCAGAAAATATCTGTGTGACGGGAGTGACTTTTTTGGGTTTCGGGGGACCCCCTGTGTCATCTCCCCAAATCATTATGTTTATAACCCACCCTGTGCCTGTAACAGGGTGTGTATGTGAATGTCTGAGTCCTGTGTATAGTGTGTGTTTACTTTGTCTAGGCCACATGGCTGACCATTGTCTGTTTACCATGTGCTACCCCCCATGGTGCTGTGTCTTCCTGTGCAGCGAACTATTATGGGATGTACTGTTTGTGTATTGGGATGTGGGGGTTGGGTCAATGTCCTTGGCCACATGGCTGCATCCCATTGTTCTGTGTCTGGTTGGATGGGGAGGGGTGATGAGGTGTTTCCTGCCTATACTCCCCCCCACTCACGCTTCATTTTCCCCACACCTCGACGACCCTACTACCCACACTCCATACACCCCCACTCCCACCCCCCCCCAACCCCCCCTTCCCGCACCCCCACAGGCTTACACCAACGCCCCTTTCTCCCCCCAACCACCCCTCCACCGGCAGACCACGCTCCCCCCACCCCACAAACAACGGCTACACGGTTCTCCCCCCACCTATACTTCATCCCTATACACGCACCCCCCTGGGGACGCCCCATCCAATACCCTTCTCCCCCCCTCCTCCCCTGGCCACGCT